TATATAATAAGTGGAAAATATAGGAATGTGCCATCTAAATAGTAAAATGGAAAAAAAAAAGAAGTAAAATCTCACCTTATTATTGAGGCTTGATGGCAAAAGCGAGGAGCTCAACTTGAGGGAACTTGCGGTAAGAGACGCCATTGAAGCTTAAAAGAATTAAGGGAAGCCGAGAGACTTGAGATGAGAGAGAAAGAAGCAGAGGGGATTCGGTTGCTTATAATGTAGTGTGAGAGAAAGGGGATAAAGAGTGTGAACCCGAAAAGTCGGTATTTATAACAAAATCGAATTCGAAATCGTCAAAAATTAATAGGCGCACCAGCCTAACTTTGTCAGGGACTCTAGTCCGAGTGGCTGACATGCATAAACCTTCGATGTAAAATTTATACTTTTGGTTTTTTATGGCCAAAAGGTTAAATGATCCTGCCAGTTTTCACTGTCTATTTATTCCCTCGAGTACTTACATAGACTTGTTTCTAAAAATAGTAAGGAAAAAAAATTTCTTTTGACAATGCAATAAGGAAAACGTTTATATAAGTGCGAGGCTCTAAACAATCAAATTAAGATGTATCTCAAAAATTTCAGTAGAGGAAATTGTTTTGATACCCAAATATTCTCAAATTGATCGTCTCGACCTCAAGATGTATGGACATAAAAAAAAATGGATTCCAAGTTTTAAAGATAGTGCATCTTGTGATGCATTTTTGAACCGTCAATTTTCAATATTTTCAAGTTTTTATAGATTTTCTCTATCTACACTATTTTTTAAGCTTTAAATTTTATAATTACTAATGAAAATATATTTTAAGGCTATCACAAAGATTTTTAGTGTTGCAACCACAATTTTCGATACTATTTGAAAGTGAGCTCTACTTTGATTGTTTAGGGCACCACAAACCACACCCTAAAAATAATATTTTGAGATAGAAAAAGTTTATATAAGGTTGGAGCCTTATAGAATTAAAATGTACCATAAAAATTCAGCATAAAAAGTTGTTTTGATGTTGGAAAGCCCTCTAACTCATCATTTCAACATCTAGATATATGAATTTGAAAAGAAAAAAAGATTTCAAGTCCTAAAAATAGTGTGTCTTACAATACATTATATGGATCATCTATTTTCAAGATTTTTATATGTTTATAGATCTTCTTGATTTGAACTATTTTTTGAATTTAAAATTTTATAATTAGAGATCAAAATATATTCTCAAGCCATCCTAAAAAGGTTTTTGTAACAAAATTACATTTATGATAAATTTTGGAGGTGAGCTTTAATTTGATTGTTTAAAGTTGCAATCTTATGCGAACCACACTCTTTTTGAGATTGAATGAAGATTGTCTAGTTTTTTGAGAGTAAGATCTAAATGTTACAATTTTTAAAAGCCTTTTGTTTTGAAGTATTATTATAGTAATTTTTAAAATTTCCTAAAATTTTATATCGGAAAATCTTCCAATAAGCTCCCTGAAAGAATAGGTGTATGTTATGTTTCCATAGGAGCAGAATGCATGACTTTAAGGAGTGAGTATACGTTGCAAATTGCAACAAGTATGTTTAAATCATTTATATCATCCGTGTGGTTTGTATAATGCCAAGGCTTTAAACAATCAAAGTAAAATGCACATTTAAATTGTATCGAAAGATGTAGTTTCAATATTGAAAATCTTTGTGATGGTCTGAAATTTTATTTTATATTAAATTATAAAATTTAAAACTTCAAAAATAGTGTAGATTGAGCAGATCTATAAATACTTGAAAATCTTTAAAATTGAAGGTCCAAAAATGCATTACAAGACGCACTATTTCCAAAACTTGAAATTCATTTTTTCTCATGTCCATGAATCTTGAGGTCGAGATGATCAAGTTGAGGATATTTGGGCATCGAAACAACCTCTTCTAATCAAAATTTTGAGGTGCACCTTAATTTGATTGTTTAGAGCCTCGCATTTAAATAAACCTTTTTCTTATATCAATATTCAAATTACTACGAATTTGGTATACATTGTATACATGGAGATTGATTTTTTGTGGAATCTTAAACCATTATGTATAAGCTTGTAAAATCTGATGGATGTGGATTACAACAGATTGAGCTCACCAAATTTCTTTTTTATGTTAGATATTTCTAAATCATCTTACCCATCCCAAATACTAACTTTTTTTTAAAAAAAATGGAGTTAAAGGGTGTTCCGAATAGGATTCCCTTTATATATTGACTCGTGATCATCCATTCCAAAGTTGGGAAGATTTGAAAAACTTTTATTCATTGTTCATACTTCATAGAGTGAATTAGACCTGATATGGAAGTTTCGAAATAAAAGATATCCCTTTCGACGCAATACCATGTACTAGGGGGTTTTCTAAGGTGACCACTCTAGGTTTGCCACAAAAGTTTTCCCACTTGGGGGATTGCCAGTTTGGATCGGGAATCAATCCAGATAAACATTGTTTCTTGTCGGAACATACGATCGATCTGGTTCCTCGCTCAGTTCTTTTAGAAAATCAAGCAAATCTGTTAGGGAATCAAGCAATCAGGACTTACCACTTACCAGACTACGCAGTTCACATACATTACATTTTTATTTACTTTTTGTTCTCTTTTTCAAAAAATTTGGCAAAGTAGATCATCTGAATGAGGGAGTAGAAGCGATCTATTCTTTGGAGGGAGCATAATATATGCGCTCTTTGGATCTCAAAAGATATTCTACTACTCCAGGAGTATATTGTTCATTTACTCCCTTGATTAAAACCCCACCTAGGATTAATTTTAGGCCCCCAAATTTTGGAAGTATAACCTCTTTAAAACATAGATTAACATAATAAAAAAAAAGGATCTTCTAATTTCACCCTCTAAAACCATCTAATTTTTAAAAGGTGAGATCTAAATATTAAGAAACTCAATTTTTTATTTTTTTTCTTTTGAAATAATCACCTGTCAGATTCTTAGGTGTTCCGATAATTTCCAATTGAAAAACTCCTCTCAAAAGAGGGAAAAGTTTATATAGAGCCGAGGCTCTAAACAATCAAATTTGAGCCTATCTCAAAAATTTCACTAGAAGAAGTTGTTTTGATGTTTAAATATCTTCAAATTGATCATCTCGACATCAAGAAGCATGGACATGAGAAAAAAATAGATTTAAAGTTTTGGAAATAATGTATTTTGTAACGAATTTTTTGGACCATCAATTTTCAAGTTTTCGTAAATGTATCGATCTACACTATTTTTGAAGCTTTAAATTTTATAAATAAATATAAAAAAATATTTTAAGATCATGATAAAAATTTCTAATGCTGAAACCAAACTTGTCGATACTTATAGGCTCTAATTTGATTGTTTAGAGCGTAAGCTCTACGAAAGAGTAAAAGTAAACTATTGCTGCCGAGGGAGCATTTGTTGTGTGTTTGGCAAGTGTCCGCGTTACATGTGATCAACATGACTCACAAAAAGGTTGGAAGGTTAGTGAAAGGGATGAGTACAATCAATGCCATTCAATGCATAGAACCTTTGTTTAAGCTTTCCACGTGTCCTATGCATCTTGTCGTTTAAGTAGAGATAATAGCTCAATTAAATTAATCAAATTATACCAAAAACTGAATTGTTTAATGGAAAATGTTTATATAAGGTTCACACCTTAAAATATACAGCTAAGGTGCACCTCTCAAATGAAAAAAGTTTTGATGTTGAAAAGACATCTATCATTTGATCATCTCGAGAATGAAATGTATAAATTCGAGAAAAAAAAAAGATTTTAGGTCCTAAAAAACATATCTTGAAACATATATGTACGGTTTATTTTCAAGATTTTCATACGTTTAAAGATCAGCTTGATTTGAATAATTTTTTAAATTTAAAATTTTATAATTAGAGATAAAAATAAATTTTTACACTATCTTAAAAATTTTCGATACTAAAATTACATTTCATGACAAAGTTTGGAGGTGCACCTTACTTTGATTGTTTCAAGTAGCTATCATTCTTCTGATCAAATTTGAGATAACATCACTAGATGAGATATTAACATAGGTTGTCAAATATATCAAAGTAAAATAAAGGGTAAGGTTTGTGTAAGGCATCAACATTAAACAAAATAAGCACACCCCCAAACTTCAACGAAAGGTACAATTTTGGTGTGAAACCTCCTTTGGATGGATAGAAAATCTATTTTTACCACTAATTATAATATTTAAAAAATAAAAAATGGTGTAAATTGGACAATTCTACAAGAATTTGAAAATTTCAAAGATGAACGATCCAAATAATATTATTATAAGGTGTACTATTTTCAAACTTGAAATCCTTTACTTTCTATATCTTTACATCTCAACGAGGAGATGATCAATTAGGGATTTTTCTAGAGATTTTGATGGATTTTTAAGGCGTGTCTTATCTCTACAATATAAGGTTACACAACTTCTATAAATTTTTTCCTGAAATAGAATGTTAGATAGTTAACAAAAAAAAAAAAATAAAATAAATAAAATATATATATATATATATATATATAGGGTGCGGTTTCTATAAGGTTGCAACCTTAAACAATCCAATTAAGGCGTACCTTAAAATTTTATCATAACATGTAATTTTGTTGTAAAAATTTCTTAGAATTATCATAAAATCTATTTTCATACCTAATTAGAAAATTTTAAAATCCAAAAATGGTTAAAATCAAGTAGATCTATAAATATATGAAAATCTTGAAAATGGACGCTCTAGATAATGTGTTGTAAGACGCACTATTTTCGGGACTCAAAAACACTATTTTTTCATATTCATACATCTCGATGTCGAGATGATCGATTAGAGGGTTTTTGTAACATTAAAAAAACATTTCCGATACATTTTTGAGGTGCATCTATGATTCTACATTTTAAGGTTGCAACTTTATTAAAACTTTTCCCATATATATATATATATATATATATATATATATATATATATATATATATATATATACTACTATAGTAATAAGTAGTAGTAGTAGAGATAGTAAGTAACGACGTACTACTAACGTAAGTAAGTAAGTACTACGTACGACGA